CCACGACCTATCTATCTATCTATCTATCTATCTATCTATCTATCTATCTATCTATCTATCTATCTATCTATCTATCTATCTATCTATCTATCTATCTATCTATCTATCTATCTATCTATCTATCTATCTATCTATCTATCTGTCTGTCTGTCTGTCTGTCTGTCTGTCTGTCTGTCTGTCTGTCTGTCTGTCTGTCTGTCTGTCTGGTCTGTCTGTCTGTCTGTCTGTCTGTCTGTCTGTCTGTCTGTCTGTCTGTCTGTCTGTCTGTCTGTCTGTCTGTCTGTCTGTCTGTCTGTCTGTCTGTCTGTCTGTCTGTCTGTCTGTCTGTCTGTCTGTCTGTTTCTGTCTGTCTGTCTGTCTGTCTGTCTGTCTGTCTGTCTGTCTGTCTGTCTGTCCTGTCTGTCTGTCTGTCTGTCGCTGTCTGTCTGTCTGTCTGTCTGTCTGTCTGTCTGTCTGTCTGTCAGCATGCCTGTCTGCCTGCCTGTCTGTTGGTATTCGTTTGCTAGCACAGGCACCACTTTTATTCCATGGGGATGGACAAATGTCACCAGTACGATCCAACCCTGGTTACGCCTTATTGGCCAACCCCTCCCTCCCTCTTTAGACACTCAGTGTACGCTGGCATACTGACCTCGTTTTTTTTGCTCCCTGCCCGTGCTTTGGTGATAAATAGGCTAGTAGCTATCCCATTCATCCTCTTGAACCAAGTTTTTCGCCAGGGACACAGATGAGTATAATTTATTTTGTACATTAGAGTCCTATGTAATCACTTAATAGTTAGAGCATATTAATGTGCATGTGTACTGTGTTGTTCGTTATGTGCTTATGAAGGCTAACCGCCGCAACGTCCTTTGTTTGTTTATTGTGATCGATTTTGTAAAGCTAACATAAACTGTCTGTTCATTCTTGCTAACTTTTTCTCTTGCCTAAAATTTTCTACCCCTTTAAAAACTACTTGCACAAGAACAGGAATTCCCGTTGACCTAGTTGGCCTATAAATAGAGTCGGCCGTGCATTTAAATTACCCTTCCCACCGGTAACATCTTACGAAAGTGTAGTCTTACCTGTATACCCCCTGTAATACCTGAACATTAGGAAGTGATTCATGTTGTAACACATGAACAACACATTGACTGGAGCCTGGTTGACATCAACAGTAGTCTCTGGTTAGAACTCTTAAGTGATCATCGGGTGATCCTGTAGTGTGTTCAGTTACACCAGTGTCTGTGAGTGTTTGTCAGGCTCTGATATGGGAACACAAGTACTGAAGATACCAGAACTGCCAAGAGAAACCTTTGACAAGAGAGGACAATGGTGGTAGCCGGGATTCTCTCTGTGATACGGAGAAGACTGCACATTGTAAACCAGAATAAAGTGCCAGCCTTGTGTGACGATGAACGGCACGACATGAAGATGATGCATACACATTTTGTGTCAATCATGTGCCAGTCCCATCAGCAAAGGCAGGCATGAATGTTGCCAACAAACTTGCACGATCAATCATTGCCAGTAGGACATTGCAACACTGAGAAAAGCCAGAAACCTGCACGGTCAATCATTGCCAATAAGACATTGCAACACTGAGACAAGCCAGAAACTTGCACGGTCAATCATTGTCAGTAAGACATTACAACACTGAGACAAGCCAGAAACCTGCACGGCCAATCATTGTCAGTAAGACACTGAGACAAGCCAGAAACATGCAAGGCCAGTCATTGTCAGTAAGACATTGCAACACTGAGACAAGCCAGAAACCTGCACGGCCAATCATTGCCAGTAAGACATTGCAACACTGAGACAAGCCAGATACAGAAAAAGGCTAACAACTGCCACCAGTAAGAGACGTCCACAAGAATAAAGCAGCGAACACAACAGTCTCATTAATTAAACAACGGACAAGGTCAGCATGGAGCCGAATATACGTAATAGGAGAACCAACCCTCCCCCCCCCCTGCCACCCATTTTTGATCCTTCTAGTTATAAGTTTGTCTTGTTTGGTTCTTCTGTGTTCGCCCTTACAATGAATGTTGGCATGTTAGGTTGTGCTGACTAATCTTTGTTAGAGACTGGCAGGTGACCTGTGAGGTTGGAGCTGGGACTGACTGACTGACTAATCTTTGTTAGAGACTGGCAGGTGACCTGTTTCTGGCTGACTGACTAATCTTTGTTAGAGACTGGCAGATGACCTGTTTCTGGCTGACTGATCTTTGTTACAGACTGGCAGGTGACCGGTTTCTGGCTGACTGACTAATCTTTGTTAGAGACTGGCAGGTGGCCTGTGAGGTTGGAGCTGGGACTGACTGACTAATCTTTGTTAGAGACTGGCAGGTGACCTGTGAGGTTGGAGTTGTGACTGACTGACTGACTAATCTTTGTTATAGACTGGCAGGTGACCTGTGAGGTTGAAGCTGCGACTGACTGACTGACTAATCTTTGTTATAGACTGGCAGGTGACCTGTGAGGTTGTAGCTGTGACTGACTGACTAATCTTTGTTAGAGACTGGCAGGTGACCTGTGAGGTTGAAGCTGCGACTGACTGACTGACTAATCTTTGTTAGAGACTGGCAGGTGACCTGTGAGGTTGAAGCTGCGACTGACTGACTGACTAATCTTTGTTATAGACTGGCAGGTGACCTGTGAGGTTGAAGCTGTGACTGACTGACCTCTGTTAGAGACTGACAGATGACCTGTGAGGTTGAAGCTGTGACTGACTGACTGACCTCTGTTAGAGACTGACAGATGACCTGTGAGGTTGTAGCTGTGACTTACTGACTAACCTCTGTTAGAGACTGACAGATGACCTGTGAGGTTGTAGCTGTGACTGACTGACTAACCTCTGTTAGAGACTGACAGATGACCTGTGAGGTTGTAGCTGTGACTGACTGACTGACTAATCTTTGTTATAGACTGGCAGGTGACCTGTGAGGTTGTAGCTGTGACTGACTGACTAACCTCTGTTAGAGACTGACAGATGACCTGTGAGGTTGTAGCTGTGACTGACTGACTAACCTATGTTAGAGACTGACAGGTGACCTGTGAGGTTGGAGTTGTGACTGACTGACTAACCTCTGTTAGAGACTGACAGGTGACCTGTGAGGTTGGAGCTCGGACTGACGGACTAACCTTTGTTACAGACTGGCAGGTGGCCGGTTTCTGACTGACTGACTAATCTTTGTTATAGACTGACAGGTGACCTGTGAGTTTGGAGCTGTGACTGACTGACTAACCTCTGCTAGAGACTGAGAGGTGACCTGTGAGGTTGTAGCTGTGACTGACTGACTAACCTCTGTTAGAGACTGACAGGTGACCTGTGAGTTTGGAGTTGTGACTGACTGACTAACCTCTGTTAGAGACTGACAGGTGACCTGTGAGGTTGGAGCTGGGACTGACTGACTGACTAACCTATGTTACAGACTGGCAGGTGACCTGTGAGGTTGAAGCTGTGACTGACTGACTAATCTCTGTTAGAGACTGACAGGTGATCTGTGAGGTTGTAGCTGTGACTGACTGACTGACTAACCTCTGTTAGAGACTGACAGGTGATCTGTGAGGTTGTAGCTGTGACTGACTGACTAATCTCTGTTTCTAGACTAGCGGGTTGCCGGTTCGCCGTGAGGTTGAAGCTGTGACTGACTAACCTCTGTTTCTAGACTAGCGGGTGGCCGGTTCGCCGTGAGGTTAGAGCTGTGACTGATTGACTAACCTCTGTTTCTAGACTAGCGGGTGGCCGGTTCGCCGTGAGGTTGAAGCTGTGACTGACTAACCTCTGTTTCTAGACTAGCGGGTGGCCGGTTCGCCGTGAGGTTAGAGCTGTGACTGATTGACTAACCTCTGTTTCTAGACTAGCAGGTGACTGGGTCGCCGTGAGGTTGGAGCTGTGACTGACTGACTGAATAACCTCTGTTATGGACTGGCAGGGGTCGCGATAACCTGGTGGCTTGGACGCTTAGAGTTTTGGGCGTCAAATCTTCCCCGGCACCCTGGAGCTCTGGACCGATACAGTTGTGTCGCGGACCGGTTACGTTAACAGTTGTGTCGTGGACCGGTCCAGTTGTTGTGTCGCGGACCGGTCAAGTTAACAGTTGTGTCGTGGACCGGTCAAGTTAACAGTTGTGTCGTGGACCGGTCAAGTTAACAGCTGTGTCGTGGACCGGTCAAGTTAACAGTTGTGTCGTGGACCGGTCAAGTTAACAGTTGTGTCGTGGACCGGTCAAGTTAACAGGTGTGTCGTGGACCGGTCAAGTCAACACTTTTGTTGCGGATGGGTAAAGTGAACAGTTTTGTCACGGCCTGGTTACGTTAACGCTTTAAGAACAGTGTCGCGGGCCGCTAACATTAAGAATGAAGTCGCAAATAGGTAACCTTAACAGGTGTGTCGCAGAACGATAACTTGTTAATTAGTCAGACCGCGCAGTTCGGTCAACTACTTGGTTTTATGCTGCCAGTCAAATGAACCCACATATCGTTGCCGCTGCTGAACAGGTGAATATATCACCCGGCCTGGTCTCACTGACTTTTCTACATTGTATCTTTTCCAGCCAACACTTTGCATGTTCAGTGTGTACCACGTGATATCTACAAGGTGCAGCCATGTACCGTCTAGAAACCACTGGATGATTGCTTATGAACAGTTAACACTGTGTTTTCTCTGCAGTCGTTTCCTCATTGGACAGGACCAAGTTTACCTGTGGTTTTTTTCTCGACACCATGGAATGTGGGTACCATTTTATTCTGGGCTATTTACGCTTATTTACTATTTTACACTTAAGGTCGTTTCCCCTCTGGCCACTACCAGATTCTGGGACACTCAACTCTTCAGTCCCAGGGGGTTTAGCATCGGTGGCCCAAGGGATAATATAGAGAAACGTATAATCAATGTACATTGCATTCACTGGGCTTCTAGGAAGTAACATATCAACGTATAGTGCGTTAATTCGGACTGTAAGAGTGTCTCTCTGGCCACCATCAGTTCTGGAATATTTAACTATGTTTTCCCTCGGGGACACCATAGGATTCTGGAATATTTAACTATGTTTTCCCTCGGGGACACCATAGGATTCTGGAATATTTAACTATGTTTTCCCTCTGGGAACCATCAGATTCTGGAATATTTAACTATGTTTTCCCTCTGGGAACCATCAGATTCTGGAATATTTAACTATGTTTTCCCTCTGGGAACCATCAGATTCTGGAATATTTAACTATGTTTTCCCTCTGGGAACCATCAGATTCTGGAATATTTAACTATGTTTTCCCTCAGGGACACCATAGGATTCTGGAACTTTTAGCCTTAGTTTTCCCTTGGGGAATCCTCAAATTCTAGGACACCTAGCCGCTGTTTTTTCCTCTGGCACCATCATATTCTGGAACATTTTGTCATAGTTTTTCCCTCAGGGCACTATCAGAGTCTTAACAATTTAACTGTAGTTTTCCCTCCCTCTGGGCACTATTAGATTCTTAACAATTTAACTGTAGTTTTCCCTCCCTCTGGGCACTATCAGATTCTTAACAATAACTGTAGTTTTCCCTCCCTCTGGGCACTATCAGATTCTCAACAATTTAACTGTAGTTTTCCCTCCCTCTGGGCACTATCAGATTCTTAACAATTTAACTGTAGTTTTCCCTTCCCCTGGGCACTATCAGATTCTTAACAATTTAACTGTAGTTTCCCCTCCCTCTGGGCACCCTCAGTTTCTGCAACAATTAATGTTGTTTTCCCTCTAAGCACCATCAGTTAGGGAACATCTAACTACAGTTTTTCCCTCTGGGCACCATGAGATTCTAGATCATTTACCAGAATTGTTTCTCTTTAGGCACCTAGAGATTCTGGAACATTTAATCATAGTCTCCCCTTTTGGGCACCATCAGATTCTATTTCTTTATTATGTCACAGCATTTGATCTGCTTTATTTCATGTGTGATCTAATTGCTGCCTTGTGACTGAAGAGCTGTCTTTGTTGTTCTCAGTCTTCCCTTTTGGGAACCATCAGATTCTATTTCTTTATTATGTCACAGAGTTTGGGGAATTGTTTGATCTGCTTTATTTCATGTGTGATCTAATTGCTGCCTTGTGACTGAAGAGCTGTCTTTGTTGTTCACAGGGGCAACTGAGTTGTAATAAGCAGTGGGCAACATGCCGTATGATGATGATGTCTGGAGACAACAGAGCCAGGAATCTGGAATATGTCTACTACTCACGAGTCAATGAGTCAGCCACCTCAGCCAGTAGTGCACTAGCTGCTGATGATTGTACTCAGCTCACATCATCACCAGACAATGCTATTGCTACATGCAAGATGATATTTGGTCATTTGAAGTCAAAGGTCATTGCTGCAGTCATTCTGATAATTGCCATAGGAGTAGTGGCAGGGACAATAACCCTGGCCTTATTTATCAAAAGTAAGTAGGTCATTGTTTGCCAGTATGTTATTGTTGAGTTTATGTGTGTTTTGTTGAATTAATTAAAACATGCTGTGAAAAACAATCAGCTTCACAAGAAGACAATAGGGGCAAGAAATAGGGTGGAAACTGTAGCGTAAAAACTTTCATCATCAAACAGGAACAAAGACAAATTGACACTATTGCAACTATTCATAACTTATCTAACTGTAAGTCCACAGTTAAAATGTAGTTAATGCTACACATATTTCTTGTCCTTTTAAGGATGAAATTTTTCGTTATTTGAAGCCCTACTCTGGCTTTTGCCAGGGGAGCAATATAGCTTGGCCATAAATATGGCCTAAAGGCTGAACGCGGTTTCTGGGACCTCTCCACGGTGATCCTCACCCACATGGTGGCACATTGTGTCATTGGGTGTTTATCGCTTGTCTGATGTCCTGGTGGGGTAGAGAGTAATTCAGTCAGTCCACAGTTAAAGTCTGTATATGGTCCTACAGTGAGAGTCTGATAGTCCCACAATGAGAGTTTGTGCATTGTGCTACAGTGAAAGTCTGTCTGTGGTCCTACAGGAAGAGTCTGTGTATGGTCCTACAGTGAGAGTCTGTGTATGGTCCTACAGTGAAAGTCTGTGTATGGTCCTACAGTAAAAGTCTGTGTGTAGTCCTACAGTGAGAGTCTGTGTATGGTCCTACAGTAAAAGTCTGTGTGTGGTCCTACAGTGAGAGTCTGTGTATGGTCCTACAATGAAAGTCTGTGTATAGTCCTACAGTGAGAGTCTGTGTATGGTCCTACAGTGAAAGTCTGTGTATGGTCCTACAGTGAAAGTCTGTGTGTGGTCCTACAGTGAGAGTCTGTGTATGGTCCTACAGGGAGAGTCTGTGTATGGTCCTACTGGAAGAGTCTGTGTATGGTCCTACAACGACAGTCTGTGTATGGTCCTACAGTGAAACTATGTGTATGGTCCTACAGTGACAGTCTGTGTATGGTCCTACAGTGAAACTATGTGTATGGTCCTACAGTGACAGTCTGTATATGGTCCTACAGTGAAACTATGTGTATGGTCCTACAGTGAAACTCTGTATATGGTCCTACAGTGCCAGTCTGTGTATGGTCCTACAGTGCCAGTCTGTGTATGGTCCTACAGTGAAACTCTGTGTATGGTGGTACAGTGAAAGTCTGTGTATGGTCCTACAGTGAAAGTCTGTGCATAGTCCTACAGTGAAAGTCTGTGCATAGTCCTACAGTGAAAGTCTGTGTATGGTCCTACAGTGAAAGTCTGTGTATAGTCCTACAGTGAAAGTCTGTGTATGATCCTACAGTAAAAGTCTGTTTATGGTGGTACAGTGAAAGTCTGTGTATTGTCCTACAGTGAAACTCTGTGTATTGTCCTACAGTGAAACTATGTGTATGGTCCTACAGTGAAAGTCTGTTTATGGTGGTACAGTGATAGTCTGTGTATGGTCCTACAGTGAAACTATGTGTATGGTCCTACAGTGACAGTCTGTGTATGGTCCTACAGTGAAACTATGTGTATGGTCCTACAGTGACAGTCTGTGTATGGTCCTACAGTGAAACTATGTGTATGGTCCTACAGTGAAACTCTGTGTATGGTCCTACAGTGAAACTATGTGTATGGTCCTACAGTGACAGTCTGTGTATGGTCCTACAGTGAAACTATGTGTATGGTCCTACAGTGAAACTATGTGTATGGTCCTACAGTGAAACTATGTGTATGATCCTACAGTGACAGTCTGTGTATGGTCCTACAGTGACAGTCTGTGTATGGTCCTACAGTGAAAGTCTGTGTATGGTCCTACAGTGAAACTCTGTGTATGGTCCTACAGTGAAACTATGTGTATGGTCCTACAGTGAAACTATGTGTATGGTCCTACAGTGAAACTATGTGTATGGTCCTACAGTGACAGTCTGTGTATGGTCCTACAGTGAAACTCTGTGTATGGTCCTACAGTGACAGTCTGTGTATGGTCCTACAGTGAAACTATGTGTATGGTCCTACAGTGAAACTATGTGTATGGTCCTACAGTGAAACTATGTGTATGGTCCTACAGTGAAACTATGTGTATGGTCCTACAGTGACAGTCTGTGTATGGTCCTACAGTGAAACTCTGTGTATGGTCCTACAGTGAAACTCTGTGTATGGTCCTACAGTGAAACTATGTGTATGGTCCTACAGTGACAGTCTGTGTATGGTCCTACAGTGAAAGTCTGTGTATGGTCCTACAGTGAAACTCTGTGTATGGTCCTACAGTGAAACTATGTGTATGGTCCTACAGTGAAACTATGTGTATGGTCCTACAGTGAATATGTGTATGGTCCTACAGTGAAACTCTGTGTATGGTCCTACAGTGAAACTCTGTGTTTGGTCCTACAGTGAAACTATGTGTATGGTCCTACAGTGACAGTCTGTGTATGGTCCTACAGTGAAACTATGTGTATGGTCCTACAGTGACAGTCTGTGTATGGTCCTACAGTGAAACTATGTGTATGGTCCTACAACGACAGTCTGTGTATGGTCCTACAGTGAAACTATGTGTATGGTCCTACAGTGACAGTCTGTGTATGGTCCTACAGTGAAACTATGTGTATGGTCCTACAGTGAAACTATGTGTATGGTCCTACAGTGACAGTCTGTGTATGGTCCTACAGTGAAACTCTGTGTATGGTCCTATTGGGAAACCACTGTTTGGTTTATAAGGAAACATTGTATTGTCCTATTCTGGAGAAAAACAATGATCACTCTTTCAACAGACAGGGCACTATGACAGTCACTTAACCTCTTTATCTTTTAAAAAACAGTAATTATGTTTTGTCTGATGTTATATTACTAGATGACAGTAGCTGATTATTGTCTGTATTATGTGTTGTCTGATTATTGTCTGTATTATGTGTTGTGTGATTTCGTATTACTAGATGTCAATAGCCAATTATGTGACACAGTTGTATCTTTCACATCTCCCCAAGCATAGATGTGCCTAACTCGGAACTTAGTATATAAGATGCTGTTTGTAAGTTGATTAATTGTGTTTAACAACACGACCGCGCCTCTCTCTAGCGTAGTTGGCTAAACCGGATTGCGCGGTGAGCGGGTGACGAACTCCTTGTGGTCCGGGTTCACTCCCGGGGGTGGGCAGAAAAACCACATTTCTCCCAGATTTACGGTATTTAAAATGGAATCAAGGCCGAAAGGTTGTGATATCCATTATACCGAGCCTAAGGGTTAACAACTCATGGCTTCTTGTTACTAAAACAAACAAACAAACAACAACACGGCCAGTGATGAAACAGTCGAATAGTTATTAGATTGTTTATTCAACAATATCCTGTCAATTTATGCAGAATGAACATTTCATTTTTATGCAACAGTATAATATCCTAGTATCTTATTACTGGCTATTCATATGTCTGACGATAAGTTCTTTAATCTCTTCTAGCAAAACAAAACCAAAGTTTACTATCTCCCTTGTAGCGAAGCAGAGTTCTTTTTTGTCAGCTGCCTTCTCAAGCATCTCGGCACTGACTGTCCCTTCTCTCCCCTCGCTCGCCTCCTCTTCCCACCCTCCTCTTCTCTCTTCCTGGTGTGGGTTATCAATCACCATCTGTCACTCTTTATTCTGTTCCATGTTCTCGTCTTCAGGGGGTCGTCTGCATTCCTCGATGCTCTCGTGGTCTGTCTTATCTATCTGACACCTGCGTCTTTCCTCATTGAGTGCTTGTTGACCTCAGTCACTCTTGAGCATCTTCGTGTGGTCTTTCCTGACCAGCGTTCCAATCTAGTTTCTTGGCTTGCCCGCTTATCATGCGTATACATCCGTCAATGTCAGATGTCACGGCTTCGTTTGGACAAACGCACTCTATTCAACTCTCCTAACCCTATTTCATCACCAGTTATTGTCTGTATTATGTGTTGTCTGATTATTGTCTGCATTATGTGTTGTGTGATTATTATCTGTATTATGTGTTGTGTGATTATTATCTGTATTATGTGTTGTCTGATTATTGTCTGTATTATGTGTTGTCTGATTATTATCTGTATTATGTGTTGTGTGATTATTGTCTGTATTATGTGTTGTGTGATTATTGTCTGTATTATGTGTTGTCTGATTATTGTCTGTATTATGTGTTGTGTGATTATTGTCTGTATTATGTGTTGTCTGATTATTGTCTGTATTATGTGTTGTCTGATTATTGTCTGTATTATGTGTTGTCTGATTATTGTCTGTATTATGTGTTGTCTGATTATTATCTGTATTATGTGTTGTCTGATTATTGTCTGTATTATGTGTTGTCTGATTATTGTCTGTATTATGTGTTGTCTAGATGATTATGTGTTGTCTAATTATTGTCTGTATTATGTGTTGTCTAATTATTGTCTGTATTATGTGTTGTCTGTATTATTGTCTGTATTATGTGTTGTCTAATTATTATCTGTATTATGTGTTGTCTAATTATTGTCTGTATTATGTGTTGTCTAATTATTGTCTGTATTATGTGTTGTCTAATTATTGTCTGTATTATGTGTTGTCTAATTATTATCTGTATTATGTGTTGTCTAATTATTGTCTGTATTATGTGTTGTCTAATTATTCTGTATTATGTTGTATTATGTGTTGTCTAATTATTGTCTGTATTATGTGTTGTCTAATTATTGTCTGTATTATTGTTGTCTAATTATTGTCTGTATTATGTGTTGTCTAATTATTGTCTGTATTGTGTTTGTCTAATTATTGTCTGTATTATGTGTTGTCTAATTATTATTGTGTTGTCTGTATTATTGGTCTAGTTGTCTGTTCCGATTGTTATCTGTATTATGTGTTGTCTAATTATTGTCTGTATCTACATTGTCTGTATGTGTGTGTTTCATCACCTGTATTGCTGTGACATCATCATTATCTGTAACATGTGTTGTCTAATTATTGTCTGTATTATGTGTTGTCTGATTATTGTTTGTTTTGTCTAATTTGTATTATGGTGTCTAATTATGTGTTGTCTAATTATGCTGTTGTCAACCTGATTATTGTCTTGTTGTCTGATGTTTTTATGTTCTCTGATTTCACATTGCTAGATGACAGTAGTCGACTCTGTGGCTAAGTCGATGCGAACTCTTCGTAATGCCGAGAAGCCGGGTTCAACCCCAGCTGCGGGCAGTGCGCCTTGCGTTGGTTTCGACAGTGGTATCAAGAAAGCCGACCGTCCAGAAAGCAACGGCAAACTACTGGAGGTAAATTGTCTAGAAAAACCACACAATAGCCAGGGGCAACATCCTGTAAAGGATACGCAACAACCTTAAGATGACAGTAATCAATTATTGTCTGTATTATGTTTTGCATGATTTCATATTGCTTTTAGTTTTGCCTTGCTGGTTTGAGTCGATTTTGTTTGTCTTTAGGCAGACATTCATCTAGTGCAGTCCCTTGGCCAGCCAACCACTCCTCTGATACCACAGCTTTTGTAGGACTGACATCATCATCATCATCTACAACAGCTGTGACATCATCACATGCAACAGCTATGACATCATTATCATCTGTTTCTAAATAAACCTAGAAGAGTTCTGGGTACAGAGCTAAATGTGGTGTGCTGATTTTGGGTCAGATACATGTCTAAATAAACCTAGAAGAGTTCTGGATGCAGAGCTTTATTCTGAAAACAGTGTTACTGGCAAGACTGCAGTGCATTCTAAACACACGCTAACATAGTTACAGGAGCAACCTTCAAGTGATTGGAGGTCACCGTTAACTAAAGTTCCCATAAATATAAAGGAAATAATGAAAAATTCATTAGTTTCATTCATCACATTAAAGATAACTGAACATTACATTAGTACTGTTTTTTTCTTCTTTTACTAAGTATTCAAACTACTTTAAGGGTCGTTGTGCCACATAAAATTTTTGACTTAAAGAATAGATTTTGCTTATAGAATTGCTCTTACTTAAAGGATAGAAATTGCTTATAGAACAGCTGTTAATTATAGGATATATGTTGCTTATAGATCAGCTGTTACTTATAGGATAGATATTGCTTATAGAACAGCTGTTACTTGTAGGAGAAATGCTGCTCATAGAACAGCTCTTATTGATAGGATAATTATTGCTTTTAGGATAAATGTTGCTTTTAGGATAAATGTTTCTTATAGGATAGATGTCGCTAATAGGATAAATGTTGCTTTTAGGATAAATGTTTCTTATAGGATGGATGTTGCTAATAGGATAAATGTTGCTTTTAGGATAAATGTTTCTTATAGGATAGATGGTACTAATAGGATAGATTTTGATTAAAGGATAAATGTTGTTTATAGAATTGATGTTGTTTATAGGAGAGATGTTGCTTATAGGATAGATGTATGTTGCTCATAGGACAGGTGTTGCCGATATGATAAATTTTTATTATAGGACAGCTGTTGCTAATCGGATATATGTTTCTTATAGGATATATGTTTCTTATATGATATATGTTTCTTATAGGATATATGTTTCTTATAGGATATATGTTGCCTATAGGATAGATGTTGCTTATAGAATAGATGTTGCTTATAGGATATATGTTGTTTGTAGGATAGATTTTGTTTATAGGATAGATGTTATTTATAGGATAGATGTTGTTTATAGGATAGATGTTGTTTATAGGATAAATGTTGTTTATAGGATAGATGCTATTTATGGGATACATGTTTCTTATAGGATGTATGTTTCTTTTATGTTATATGTTGCTTATAGGATAGATGTTGTTTAAAGGATAAATGTTGTTTATAGGATATATGTTGCTTATAGAACAGCTGTTACTTATAGGATACATGCTGCTCATAGAACAGCTCTTATTGATAGGATAATTATTGCTTGTAGGATAGATGTTGCTTGTAGGGTTAATGTTGCTTATAGGATAAATGTTGCTTTTAGGATAAATGTTTCTTATAGGATAGATGTTGCTAATAGGATAAATGTTGCTTTTAGGATAAATTTTTTTATAGGATAGATGTTGCTAATAGGATAGATTTTGCTTAAAGGATAAATGTTGTTTATAGGAGAGATGTTGCTTATAAAATAGATGTATGTTGCTCATAGGACAGGTGTTTCTTATAGGATATATGTTTCTTTTAGGATATATGTTGCTTATAGGATAGATGTTGTTTATAGGATAGATGTTGCTTATTGTATAGATGTTGTTTATAGAATAAATGTTGTTTATAGGATAGATGTTGCTTAAAGGATAGATGTTGTTTATATGATAGATGTTGTTTATATGATATAGTTTGTTTATAGGCTAGATGTTGTTTATAGGATAGATGTTGTTTATAGGATAGATGTTATTTATGTGATACATGTTTCTTATAGGATGTATGTATCTTTATGATATATGTTGCTTATAGTATAGATGTTGTTTGTATGATAAATGTTGTTTATAGGATAGATGTTGATTGTAGGATAGATGTTGTTTATAGGATATATGTTTGCTTATAGGATAGATGTTGTTTATAGGATAGATGTTGTTTATAGGATAGATGTTGTTTAAAGGATTTAAGTTGTTTATAGGATAGATGTTGTTTATAGGATAGATAAATGCTTATAGAACAGATGAATGCTTATATGATAGATGTTGCTTATATGATACATTTTTATTATAGGACAGTTGTTGCTTATAGGATATATGTTGCTTTTAGGATAGATGTTGTTTATAGGATAGTTGAATGCTTATAGGACAGATGTTGCTTATAGGATAAATGTTTATTATAGGACAGATGTTGCTTATAGGACAGATGTTGCTTATAGGAGAGATGTTGCTTATAAGAGAGATGTTGCTTATAAGAGAGATGTTGCTTATAAGAGAGATGTTGCTTATAGGAGAGATGTTGCTTAAGGGTAGATGTTGCTTAAAGGATAGATGTTGCTTATAGGATAGAAGTTGCTTTTAGGAGAGATGTTGCTTTTAGGACAGATGTTACTTATGGGATAGATGTTGCTTATAGAAAAGATGATGTTTATATGATAGATGTTGCTTATATGATAGATGTTTTATATAATAGTATAGATGGTGTTTATAAGATAGATGTTCTTTAAATAATACATGTTGCTTATATGATAGATGTTGCTTATACATTCATTTATAAACACATTTGAAAATGTCTTGGAGAAGATAGTCGCAGTAAGCTGCAAGAATTTTTGGAAAGTGGGACGTTTCCCTCGAGTGTTCAGGAAAGCTACAGGCCAGGAAAGGACACATGGGCAAATGCAGCCGCTTTTGACGTCTATGAAGGTTTCCAGAACAGACAGGAAACTATGGCAGCAGTACTAGATCTTTATGATGCTTATAACACACCCATGTGGGTTCCGGGGCCCCATTGTGGGAAAAACCAGAATAGACCCACTGCCTTCCCAAAAGCATGTCGTAAGAGTCGACTAATTGGGGAGCTTCCTTTGAAGTCTGAGTGCATCTGCCGGAGAGGCAAGGAACCAACAGTCTGTATTCAAGAGAATGAGATCTGTAAAACTGATGCACACGCAACACTCAGGTTCTGGAGCAGGACTGCAGTTCAGTAGTGGACGAGCAACCAGAACTTTTCGCCAGAGTGTACAGCTGGTGAACGGAAAGAAGAAGAAGAAGATGCTTATAACAAAGTAAGATATGACATTTTGATGACCGCACTGAAAGAAAAGTATGTCAGTCCATGGCTAGTGAAATGGGTTGCAGCTGTCCTGTATTCACGTGGGGTTGCTCTCCGACTGGGCTCACGGACCTCAGCACAATGCATTTTTTCCCCAGGACTGCCACAGGGATCCACCATCTCGCCTGTGCTCTTTAACATGTATACATAACCCAGTTAGTGTATCTTGGTCTATCCAAAGTTGAATCACCGGTGGGAAGATTATACTTGACCAGTTGACTCTGTTTGTAACAACTTTCAGCTTGTCAAAGTTCTGAGTTTGTCTGCTCCAATCTGGCCTGTGTTTCCTTGGAGCTCGTATGTAATGGCATCCCAGATTGTATAGATGGAAGTGATGAACATGCATCTTGTGGTAGGTACATCTAGCATTGACATCATGTGGTATGGACATTCAACACTGACATGTAGTATGGATATCCAACACTGACATGTAGTATGGACATTCAACACTGACATGTAGTGTGGACATCCAATACTGACATGTGGTATGGACATCCAACACTAACATGTAGTGTGGACATTCAAAACTGACATGTGGTGTGGACTTTCAGTACTAACATGTGGTATGGACATCCAATACTGACATGTGGTATGGACATCCAGTACTAACATGTGGTATAGACATCCAATACTGACATGTAGTGTGGACATTCAAAACTGACATGTGGTATGGACATCCAATACTGACATGTGGTATGGACATCCAGTACTAACATGTGGTATGGACATCCAATACTGACATGTAGTGTGGACATTCAAAACTGACATGTGGTATGGACATTCAATACTGACATGTAGTGTGGACATCCAATACTGACATGTGGTATGGACATTCAACACTGACATGTAGTGTGGACATCCAATACTGACATGTAGTGTGGACATCCAATACTGACATGTGGTGTGGACATCCAGTACTAACATGTGGTATGGACATTCAACACTGACATGTAGTGTGGACATCCAATACTGACATGTGGTGTGGACATCCAATACTGACATGTAGTGTGGACATCCAATACTGACATGTAGTGTGGACATCCAGTACTAACATGTGGTATGGACATTCAACACTGACATGTAGTGTGGACATCCAATACTGACATGTGGTATGGACATTCAACACTGACATGTAGTGTGGACATCCAATACTGACATGTAGTGTGGACATCCAATACTGACATGTGGTGTGGACATCCAATACTGACATGTGGTATAGACATCCAATACTGACATGTGGTATGGACATTCAGTACTGACATGTGGTATGGACATCCAGTACTGACATGTGGTATGGACATCCAGTACTGATATGTGGTATGGACATCCAATACTGACATGTGGTATGGACATCCAGTACTGACATGTGGTGTGGACATCCAGTACTGACATGTGGTGTGGTCATCCAGTACTGACATGTGGTGTGGACATCCAGTACTGACATGTGGTGTGGACATCCAATACTGTCATGTAGTGTGGACATCCAATACTGACATGTAGTGTGGACATCCAATACTGTCATGTAGTGTGGACATCCAATACCGTCATGTAGTGTGGACATCCAATACTGAAATGTGGTGTGGACATCCAAAATTGACATCATGTGTTAGGGATATCCAGCACTGACATTTATAAATAGTTGACACATAATTACTTGACAGATGAATAGTAGACACAGGAAAAGTTGACAGGAATTGTTAACACATGAACAGTTGACAAATAAATAGTTAAGACAAAGCTGAGAAAAAAAAATGAAACTGTGTAGCGAAGATATAGATTACCTTCTGGATGTAGATCATCTACTAGATGTAAATTAACTACTAGATGTAGATTACCTACTAGATGTAGAATACCTACTAGGTGTAGATTACCTACTAGATGAAGATTACCTACTAGATGTAGATTACCTACTAGATGTAGATTACCTACTAGGTGTAGATTACCTACTAGATGTAGATTACTTACTAAATGTAGATTACCTACTAGGTGTAGATTACCTACTAGATGTAGATTACCTACTAGATGTAGAATACCTAATAAGTGTAGATTATCTACTAGATGTAGATTAACTACTAGATGTAGATTACCTACTAGATATAGAATACCTACTAGATGTAGATTAACTACTAGATGTAGATTACCTACTAGATGTAGATTACCTACTAGATGTAGATTACCTACTAGGTGTAGAATACCTACTAGATGTAGATTACCTACTAGATGTAGATTACCTACTAGATGTAGATTACCTACTAGATGTAGATTACCTACTAGGTGTAGATTACCTACTAGGTGTAGAATACCTACTAGATGTAGATTACCTACTAGTTGTAGATGTAGAATTAAGAAGATAAGAGGCAGCAGGTTAAAAAAGAGGGAAATCGGGGATGGGTCGATTTGAGGACATTATCTTACAGGTATGTTCACTTGAGGACATTATCTTACAGATATGTTCCCTTGAGGACATTATCTTACAGGTATGTTTCCTTGAGGACATTATCTTACAGGTATGTTTGCTTGAGGACATTATCTTACAGGTATGTTTGCTTGAGGACATTATCTTACAGGTATGTTCGCTTGAGGACATTATCTTACAGGTATGTTCCCTTGAGGACATTATCTTACAGGTATGTTCCCTTGAGGACATTATCTTACAGGTATGTTCCCTTGAGGACATTATCTTACAGGTATGTTTGCTTGAGGACATTATCTTACAGGTATGTTCCCTTGGGGACATTATCTTACAGGTATGTTCACTTGAGGACATAAAACCCAAGGAGGAGTGGATGCAGGTGCCTTCTCCCTTGTTTGTTTAGACAGAAAATGTAGAGACTGGTTGCCGTGGAAGCAAAAGTTCAAGACTTGATATTTTGAAAATCTCTAGAGGGTGATGCTGACATTACACAGATAAGTCTGTCATCCACCATGTTAGAAGCTTATGGGCTTTCACGGCTCAAGTTGGAGAGAGAGTTGGGAAGAAAGATTCTGGAGCTTTTGCCATACTTACAAGCAGTCTGACTATGGAGATCATGGCTGTGACTAAAGCAGTAACATGGCTAGAGACACAGACTTTCACTGGGGCATACTCAATGAGTATGCTCAGGAAGATAGAAATGGGCTGGGTCCGAAGGCTGTGGTTGGTGGCTCTACAGCGTTCATGGCTGACATGGATTAGTTTCATTTTCATGCCAGGACATGTGGGGGTTACAAGGAAACGAGCAAGCTGATAGACTTGCAGGTAAGGCTACTGTGAAATCCGAACAAGCCATGGACCAGGCTGATATACTGAATGCTCTACGAGATTCAAGATGGTTGCCTAAACCAATTGAGAACTCTGAATCTGCAACCATGGTCAGACTGCAAGAATAGCAAGTTAAACAGGGTGTCACCAAATGAGAATACTTTGCGGGTAGCCAAAGAATAATAATAAACCAACATAGTGCTCCACACTGAGGGATTTACTGAGGAGGAGATCTGAGCACCTATGGACTGAGTGGATAGCAACAGAAAAACTGCTAAATACCAGTCTTGGCTCACAGTATGTGGTAATGCTGACAGATGCAAAATCAGTACTTGAAGCACTCCAGTCTAGGAAACTACCAGAATTGCAAACACTGCTGACACAACTTAGCCTTCAGCGAAGAGTTGTAATGCAGTGGATACCATTACATTGTGGAGTGCCTGGAAATGAGAAAGCTGATCAACTGGCAGGAGAAGGTGCGATAAAAGTGCAGCCAGATGTACCAGTCACATACCACCAAAAGAAAAGAATCATTAAATCAATCAGGAAACCACTAGCCCTAGCACAAGATGACTATTTTATTATGGACAGACCAGAACAAGTCATTATCCTTCGCCTCAGAACAGGGCACAGCCGATTACGTAACCACATATACACAAAATTCAAGATAGGCGTATCAGCCATGTGCACCTGTGGAAAAATGCCCCAGACAGCAGAGCATGTACTCCAGGACTGCACCGAATTCAACACATTAATGCAAAACTTTTGGCCAAAAAGAACAACAGTGGACCACTGAATGAATTAACAACAACAGTGAAATTTATACAAGAGACAAAATTGCTGATATAGACAACTTATTTCAGGCGAACGAAAGAAGAAGAAGAAGAAGTGGTTCAACCTGCATTGAGGATAATCTGTTGACTAACTAACTAAATAGATGTAGATTACCTGCTAACCCATGAATGCTAGGAAACAATTGATTGGTCTATTTTCAGCGTGCACAGATAGTCAATTCCAGTGTCCCAGTGGTCAGTGTGTACCCAGTTCTGCTGTTTGTGACCAACACTACGACTGCTTGGACAAGGGTGACGAGGCTGTTTGTCCAGGTCTGTGTATATGCTTGGGCGCTTAATGTGTGTACATGTGTGCTTCATGAGTGTGTGTGCGTCATTGTCTGTGTGTGAGACCAAGACTACGACCGGGTTGGATGGGAAGGGTGACGAGGCTGTTTGTCCAGGTCTGTGTATATGTGTGTGTACGTTTCATATGTGTGTGTGTCTGTATGTGAGACCAACACTGCGACTGCTTGAACAAGGGTGAGAAGGCTGTTTGTCCAGGGCTGTGTGTGTGTGCGTGACCAGTACAACAACTGCATGGGCTAGTGGGACAAGACTGTTTGTCCAGGTCTCTGACTCTCTTGGCTCAGTGTGTGTGTGTGTGCATGCGTGCATGCTTGTATATGTGCGTACTTGCATGGGCGTGTGTGTGTGAGAGAGAGAGATACCAATACAACAGCTGCGTAGACTAAAGTGAGGAGACTGTTTGTCCAGGTGTATTTGTGTGTAACCAGTACAACAACTGCTTGGGCTAGGGTAAAGAGACTGTTTGTCCAGGTGTATTCGTGTGTAACCAGTACAACAAGTGCTTGGGCTAGGGTAAGGAGACTGTTTGTCCAGGTGTATTTGTGTGTAACCAGTACAACAAGTGCTTGGGCTAGGGTAAAGAGACTGTATAGGTGTCCTTGTGTGTTACCAATACAACAACTGCATGGACTAGGGTGGCGAGGCTATTTGTCCAGGTCCCTACTTGCTCTCATGTGTGTGTGTGAGAGAGAGAGACCAACACAATGACTGCATGGGCTAGGGTGACAAGGGTGTTTGTCCAGGACTCTCTCTCTCTTGCTGTGTGTGTCTGTGTGTGTGTGTGTGAGAGAGAGAGACCAATACAACGACTGCTTTGCTTGGGCTGGGCTGACAAGGCTGTTTGTCCAGGTCTGTGTGTTTGTGTGAGGGTGTGTGTGTGTGACAGGACAGTGACTGCTTGGGCTAGGGTGTCGAGTCTGTTTGTCCAGGTCTCTCTTTCTCTCTCTCTCTCTCTTTCTCACTGTGTGTTTGCATGTGTATGTGTTTTTTGTTTTGTTTTATGAATTATGAGTTGGGTTATCCTCATGCAACTGTAGATATGTCCATAAGTGCTCTTATTACCCTGGTAACATACACTTCAGCGTTCAGAGGGTAATAGTGTCAGTCCTGTGCTGCTTGACAAGACTTATCATAGGCCTGATGTGCCTCTTGTGCTTAGCTGTGCTAATCTTAACTCTAAGTTCTAGCATTCTTAGCAGCCGTGTGGACACATTACCACCACAATCCTCCGCATTTTCTATAATGCATTATTAGTGTCGGTGTGATCCATTGGCAAACAATTTGCACATTTGGCAGTGCCAGCCAGTCTATCTGTTTTTTTAATTTCCACTGACATCCAAATGCCATGGCACAAACATGAAGTTAACTTCATGCATGTAACTTACACACCTGACTTTTGCAACCATGAAATCCATTGTGTGCATTCAGAGCCTGCCTCATCCTGCTAGATCATGCTCATGGAATCACTCAGTACACACACATGTGGAAATAACCCTGCGATTCTAGCACATGGAAGCTCATTTCACCACCATCACCTCTTTTGTCATGCTACCAGTAATCATCATGTATTATCTGAAATCCCACTCTGCTGAAAATCTAACATTATCAAACTTATCAGGGTGGAAGAGATATCCTTCATCCTAACAGACAGGGGGGACGCCGGTGTGTTGGGAAATGAACAGGCGGACAGACTGGCTGGCTCTACACAACATGATGGGATACTGATACATGATAAGGCAGACGTGGTTGGTGCCTTGTGGGAGAGCGTGTACAGTTCAGAGAAGCAGATGGATAACCAGTCTGGTGAGATTGATGCAGCTGGGAGTGACTAGAGGTTTTGGCAGATGCTCGAGGTTCAGAGGAAAGGCAAGACGGACGCTTAATCAGAATGCTACTGGCACCATTAGTATAGGAACTCTTTGCTGGCTGCTGAAGATGGGGACAGAGCGCTTATGGGAATGCCCCGAGTGCTGTGATGTCGGTTCTTGAATCAAATCAAATCAAATCCTAACAGACACAAAGTGTGCTACCATCTTGTTTGTTCATACTGGAATATATATATATATATATATGTGTGTGTGTGTGTGTGTGTGTGTGTGTGTGTGTGTGTGTGCGTGCGTGCCTGCATGCGCACGTGCATGCGTGTGCCGGCTTGTGTCTGCCTGTGTGTGTATATTGCCTCGACTGCCAATACTGATTACTTGAACACGGGTGCTGAAGCTGTTTATTCAGGTGTGTGTGTGTGCATGTGTCTCTGTGTGTAACCAGATATGTTTGCCATGGTGGGTATGTTTGTGAGTATATATGTGATCAGATAACTGCTTGGTGGGCATGTATGTGTATGCATGTATTTGTATGTGTGTGGCCAGATATATCTGTCTTGGTGAGTTTTTGTTTATCACCATATGCTTGATGCACCAGTGATGTAAATAGAGTCCTTCTGATGTTTTCAAGCCATCCCTGGCAATAACTGTGCTTCTGTGTTGCAGACTGTGCTGGCTTCAGATGTGTGTCCAACAACGTTTGTCTCTGGGACCGCATGTCCAGCAGATGTAACCAGGTGTTTGATTGTGTCGATTTCAGTGACGAGCTGAACTGTGGTGAGCTGGCTGTCGGTCTCTTTATCAGTGTGTAACAATTCATGTCTGAGAGGGCATCTTAGTGTGGCTGAGGTAATAATTGATGTTTGAAAGGGCTACTTAGTGTTTCTGTTGTAACAAATAATGTTTTAGAGGGCAGCTTATTGATTTTATTGTTGCAATTGATGTTTGAGAGGGCAGCTTATTGTGTTTGTTGTAACAATTGATGTTTGAGAGGGCAACTTATTGTGTTTGTTGTAACAATTGATGTTTGAGAGGGCAGCTTATTGTGTTTGTTGTAACAATTGATGTTTGAGAGGGCAGCTTATTGTGTTTGTTGTAACAATTGATGTTTGAAAGGGCAACTTATTGTGTTTCTTGTAACAATTGATGTTTGAGAGGGCAACTTATTGTGTTTGTTGTAATAAAAAATGTTTTAGGGGGTAATTTATTGTGTTTGTTGTAACAATTAATGTTTGAGAGGGCAACTTACTGTGTTTCTTGTAACAATTGATGTTTGAGAGGGCAACTTACTGTGTTTCTTGTAACAATTGATGTTTGAGAGGGCAACTTATTGTATTTTTTTGTAACTGTTATATTCATTCGTATGGGTAACGCATCCTACCAAGTATCCAGGGTGTATTACTGGCTTCAATCATTTACCATTGCTCCCTTAGATGACAAAACAACTTTAGGGTTCCTACAGGAGAGCAATGGAAGGCCAACAACTACACTTGGCACCAAAATAAGCCAGGCATATAAAATATCGTAACACCAACAATATATCTGGCATAGATTACATTCCTGTCATAACCACTAACACTTTCTTAAGAAGACTGTCGTACAATATGCTACATCAAATATGATCTCCTAGTGCAATCAGTCTCTTTATTATGGATGAACACACAATGACGAAGATTAATTGGTGATCAATGCCTCAACGTCAGTCTACCACTCCAAGTACCCTCATCGGCAGTCTCCAGAACATAAACAAAACACCCTGGCGAACTATGTACAAGGTGCCTGCTATGGATGACCCACAAACCTGTCGCTTTGATACACCGAGGTGATGTGCAGTGTCAGTCCTCTGATAGTTTTCTCTCTAAGAGGGCCTAAGGTAGATGCACAACTTGGTGAAAACAATCCAGACCTCCTCTCTGCTACCCACTTACTCACTGAAGTATCACTGATCAACCTCCAGTTAACCTGCATTCCTGGTGCCTCCTCATCACAACTCCATGCTAGTCTACACAAAGTGACCACAGCACCTTCTCTAGTACATAAGGACGCCCCGTAAACCAGCATGCCACATAACTACAACCTTGTCAACCCCCCACACATGGACAGCACATCCATTCTAGAAAATCACTCTGACAGCATTCACCACAATCACTTGACAGATTCTGTGCTCCGACAGAGTAAAACATGTGTTTTTAACTGCCACACAACACAGTCCATGTGTCCACAGCACTTGAACAATTTGCGCGCACATCCACACACGTTGTTCGAAAAGTGACTGACTCAAATACCTCGCACTCATGCTTATAGGCGTCAGCTAGACATTGATCTCACATCCCCTACACAACTCGGGGTGTCTGTAGTCACCCATGAATATCAAGCAGCCTCTGTTTCACCACCTTCAAGTGGCTCACACTCCACTCTCTTCCAATACCTGGGGTTTACAGCTCATCCGGAAATGTCCAGCAACCCCTGTTTCACTACTTTACCTGGTTTAAGTGTTTACACTCACAAACCGTCAACACAACATGAACGCCAGTGTATACACACGCTTAACCAAGTGCTGGCTTTCTTAACTCTGTAGACACAACTGTTGAGAGGTTAAGTTAGGTTTTGCAGACAACAGTAACGAGAGAGAGGACAGCTTATATGGCTTTTTTTAACAATTGAAGTTTTAGATGGCTGTTTATAGTACTTGAAATAATTAATGTTTGAGAGCGCAACTTATTGTGCTTGTTGTAATATGAGTGAAACTTAGTAATGTTGTAACAGTTGATATTTGAGTGGACAACTTATTTTGCTTGTTGTAACAATTGATTTTTGAAAGTGCAGTTTAATGTGCATGGTGTAACAATTAATATTTAAGGGGCAATTTAGTATGCTTGTTGTAATAATTAATGTTTGAGATGGTAACACTTGAGGACACCATAGTGTAGTTGTTGTAACACTTAAGGGTAACTTAGTGTGCTTGTTGTAACAATTGATGTTTGAGAGGATAACACTTGATTGCAGCATAGTGTGGTTGTTGTAACACTTTATGGTAATTTAGTATCCTTGTTGTTATACTTTAGGGTATCTTAGTGTGGTTGTTTTAACATTTGAGGGCAACTTAGCATGGTTATTTTAACTCTTAATGGCAACTTAATGTGGTTATTTTAACACTTGAAGGTGACATAGTGTTGTTATTGTAACAACTAATTTTTGAGAGCTCAACTTATGTATCCTTGTTGTAATACTTGAGGGCAACAGATTGTAGCTGCTGTAAAAAATTATCGTTTATGAGGGTAATTGAGTGTGGTTGTCATAACACTTGAGAGGGTAAGTTAGTAGTAGCCGGTGATGTTTCATAGGTCAAGTTAGTCATAGAAACTGATGACTGAGTGGGTAACTTTGTTATAACAGTTGATGTTTGAGCGCGGAAAGATAATTTAGTTGTTGTGTTAGTTGATGTTGATAGGTCAGGTTATTTATAACAATCAGTGTTTGAATTTGAACCCCCAGCCGCTCTATTTTTTTCACCTAAATCTTCTTGTTCCTGCCCTTCTGTTTCTCTGCTTTCTTCTCTCACCATTTCCTCATATTTTCCTCTTCACTCTCTCTTCACTGCTTGCTGAAGATGATGTCAAGCACAAAGCACGTGCTCCATAGCTCCGGCAACAGTTCTTATAAAATCAAAATCAAAAATCCATATGTTGAAATTGTTATGGAGCAGAAAGTAACCGGTCCCTTAGTAGAGCCTGCCTGCTATGGAAGAGGCAATGGATGTCTTTATGGAGTCCATAGCCTGGCGCCGGCCCTCCCACTGACCAGACGTCCACGTTCACGACTGCCTATACCACAGCCATTCAGCCTCTCAGCACCTAGATCCACTTTAGGCATGGTTTTTTAAAACCGAGGTTGTCTCTAGATCCGTTGTGTTTTGACTGTGAGGTCCTGGTTAACGGGGTCACCTCTTGAAGGATGTGCCTTTTCGTTCACTCACAACGCTCTTGACTAGATAAGTTTACCAGGTCAGAGGACTGACCACCTGAGTGCGCCCTTTTCACCTTTAAGGCTATACCCAGAGACTCGTAAGGGGAAAACAGCTGGTGTGTCCCACTGTCTAAGAGTCTTAGCCACTTCAGCCCTGGGTTTCCATGACCCTCGACCAGTGTTTGAGTGGTCAGGATAGTATGGTTGTTGTAACAGTTGATGTTTTAGTGGGTAACTTATTGTGGTTGTGGTAACACTTGGAGTTTGAGAGGGCATATTAGCTTGGTTGTAACAGTTGGAGTTTGAGAAGGCAACTTAGTGTATTTTTTGGTAACCGTTGGTGTCTGAGTGAGTTTGTTATTGTGGTTGTTGTATAAGTTATATATTTTTTAAATTAGTGTTGCAATTTTAAAAATACAACTGTACGTTATGAAGCAGTCACTTCTATTACATTTCTCTCCATCTCCATGTTGATGACAGAAAGTTTTCCATCACGATATCGTTGCTCAAATGGAGTAAGCATACACAACTCCAAAGTCTGCGATGGACTGGATGATTGTGGGGATAATTCTGATGAACACAATTGTGGTAGGTCAGTTTTGCTTGCAATATTTTTGTGAAAGATATCTGTGTTCCGAAGCTGACCCACCCTAAAGATGGTTCCAGAAAATGTCTTGGGAAGTAACTGCAGATGGCATGTTGTTGACCACATTGAGTGTCAATTGGTTAGCATCATATGTGTGTTTTTGCTGATGTCAATGAGTGTATCTTGAATGTAGCACATGAATCAGTTACTGAGAGATCTCCACAACATTATCCATCTACTCAGTCACAGCTGACACAGTCAGGGAACATGGATCAGTTACTGAGAGATGTCTAGGGCATTGTTTATGTCCCCAGTCACAGCTGACACAGTCAGGGAACAAGGATCAGTTACTGAGAGATGTCTAGGGCATTGTTCATGTCCCCAGTCACAGCTGACACAGTCAGGGAACATGGATCAGTTACTGAGAGATGTCTAGGACATTGTCCATGTCCCTAGTCACAGCTGACACAGTCAGGGAACATGGATCAGTTACTGAGAGATGTCTAGGACATTGTCCATGTCCCTAGTCACAGCTGAGACAGTCAGGGAACATGGATCAGTTACTGAGAGATGTCTAGGACATTGTCCATGTCCCCAGTCACAGCTGACACAGTCAGGAAACAATGATCAGTTACTGAGAGATGTCTAGGGCATTGTTCATGTCCCCAGTCACAGCTGACACAGTCAGGGAACATGGATCAGTTACTGAGAGATGTCTAGGACATTGTCCATGTCCCTAGTCACAGCTGACACAGTCAGGAAACAAGGATCAGTTACTGAGAGATGTCTAGGACATTGTCCATGTCCCTAGTCACAGCTGACACTGTCAGGAAACAAGGATCAGTTACTGAGAGATGTCTAGGACATTGTCCATGTCCCTAGTCACAGCTGACACAGTCAGGAAACAAAGATCAGTTACTGAGAGATGTCTTGGACATTGTCCATGTCCCTAGTCACAGCTGACACAGTCAGGAAACAAGGATCAGTTACTGAGAGATGTCTAGGACATTGTCCATGTCCCTAGTCACAGCTGACACAGTCAGGAAACTAGGATCAGTTACTGAGAGATGTCTAGGACATTGTCCATGTCCATAGTCACAGCTGACACAGTCAGGAAACAAGGATCAGTTACTGAGAGATGTCTAGGACATTGTCCATGTCCCTAGTCACAGCTGACACAGTCAGGAAACAAGGATCAGTTACTGAGAGATGTCTAGGACATTGTCCATGTCCCTAGTCACAGCTGACACAGTCAGGAAACAAGGATCAGTTACTGAGAGATGTCTAGGGCATTGTTCATGTCCCCAGTCACAGCTGACACAGTCAGGAAACAAGAATCAGTTACTGAGAGATGTCTAGGACATTGTCCATGTCCCTAGTCACAGCTGACACAGTCAGGAAACAAGGATCAGTTACTGAGAGATGTCTAGGACATTGTCCATGTCCCAAGTCACAGCTGACACAGTCAGGAAACAAGGATCAGTTACTGAGAGATGTCTAGGACATTGTCCATGTCCCTAGTCACAGCTGACACAGTCAGGAAACAAGGATCAGTTACTGAGAGATGTCTAGGACATTGTCCATGTCCCTAGTAACAGCTGACACAGTCAGGAAACAAGGATCAGTTACTGAGAGATGTCTAGGACATTGTCCATGTCCCTAGTCACAGCTGACACAGTCAGGAAACAAGGATCAGTTACTGAGAGATGTCTAGGACATTGTCCATGTCCCTAGTCACAGCTGACACAGTCAGGAAACAAGGATCAGTTACTGAGAGATGTCTAGGACATTGTCCATGTCCCTAGTCACAGCTGACACAGTCAGGAAACAAGGATCAGTTACTGAGAGATGTCTAGGACATTGTCCATGTCCCCAGTCACAGCTGACACAGTCAGGGAACAAGGATCAGTTACTGAGAGATGTCTAGGACATTGTCCATGTCCCCAGTCACAGCTGACACAGTCAGGAAACATGGATCAGTTACTGAGAGATCTCCACAACATTGTCCATCTACTCAGTCACAGCTGACACAGTCAGGAAACAAGGATCAGTTACTGAGAGATCTCCACAACATTGTCCATGTTCCCAGTCACAGCTGACACAGTCAGGGAACAAGGATCAGTTACTGAGAGATCTCCACAACATTATCCATCTACTCAGTCACAGCTGACACAGTCAGGAAACATGGATCAGTTACTGAGAGATCTCCACAACATTATCCATCTACTCAATCACAGCTGACACAGTCAGGAAACATGGATCAGTTACTGAGAGATCTCCACAACATTGTCCATTTCCCCAGTCACAGGTGACACAGTCAGGGAACAAGGATCAGTTACTGAGAGATTTCTATGACATTGTTCAAGTCCCCAGTCACAGCTGACACAGTCAGGAAACATGAATCACTTGTTTTTTGTGTCGATATGTTATAGAACTTGTATATTATGTCTATATAGTATGTCTCTGGTGTTTTATGTTTGTATGTTATTTCTCTTGTTTGTTATGTCTATAGATTATATCTATTGTGTGTGTTGTGTCTATATGTTCTGTTTCTTGTGTGTTATGTCTAAATGTTATATCTCTTGTGTGTTATATCTGTATGTTATATCTTGTGTTTGTATATGTTATATCTCTTGTGTGTTCTGTCTATATGTTGTATCTTTTTTGTGTTATATCTGAATGTTACATCTCTTGTGTGTTATGTCTGCATGTTATTTCTCTTGTGTTGAAGTTTGCAAAGAAAAGAGACGGTTCTCCTGCTCAGACAAACCAGGCAAATGTATCCCAGCTACCTGGGTATGTGACGGACATCCTGATTGTTTCCAGGCCACTGACGAGGACAGCTGTGGTTTGTATTTGTTTTGTGACAGTTAACCCACTGACTATCAAGCCCATTAACCCTTGCATTTTCCCCAGATACCACGTAATTTAGTGTGTACTAAAAATGCCACAGCTTCACAACTATTTGATATAATCTCACAATATTTTGTATTTTTGCCCCAAATTGAATGAAGAACGAATTTTTTGAGAAAAAAAGATGTTTATTCTGTTTTACATCATTATCATGTGGGTGAAGATTGGTGCAAAAAGGCAACCGAAAAATCTGTTATCTGACAATATAGACTAATAAAAATGTCATATCTTCAAAAAATATTTAACAAACATTTATCATATTTTATATTTTTGCACAAAATTGAACCGAGAACACATTTGAGGAAAAAAAATGGGGTTTACTTTGAAATAATCATCATCATCATGAGGCTTTAGATTGTTGCAAAAAAAAAAAAGCAACTGAAAATCTTTTGTCTGACAACAATAAAGACTAATAAAAAATATCACATTTTTCAAAAAACTCTTATTATGTTTGTAATATTTGCACAAAATTGAACCATGAACACATTTGAAAGGGAAAAAAGTAGGGTTTACTGTTTCTGAATTAATCATTATCATCATGTGGCTGTAGATTATTGCAAAAAAGGCAACTGAAAAATCCTTTATATTTATCATATAGCCATCAAACTGTTCAGTAGTGTATTCAAATTTACTTTTTGAAGCAAAATCAGAAGTATGACCACAAGGATGGTTCCGAGAATTTGTCGCAGTGTTGGAAATTGCCTCAATGTCACACTGGCATGGGAGCTGAGAAAATTCGTCAAATATTTACTTTAAGCACTACAAAGTTATTTCCCTTAATCACACAGAAGTGAATAAGCTAAAAGCTGTAACTAAAAATTGCAATTTTAACATGGCGGCGAGTGTCCAAAGCTACAGTCCCAGGGAGTGCGACTTTGGCGGCAAGAAGTATATGTCAGCTTGTCGCATAACGTGCGACGCTGGTAGTCAGTGGGTTAATGTTTAACTTAAGAGTTGCTGATGTACGTTCTTTAACAGTTAGCTTTTAGAGTTGTTGATGTGTGCAGACATAAAAAAAGACAATCCTACCAATCCACAGAGTTGCAAAAAAAGAAATGGATGTCAACCGAAACTCTGCAGTTGATGGATGAAAGAAGGGAAAAAAAAGGATGATAAAGAAGAATAGAATACAAAAAGAAATAGTGAACAAATGCAGAGTGGCTAAAGAAGCCTGGCTAAATCAAATGTGTACAGAGGTTGAGGAAAATCACAGGAAAGACTCACATTCCATGTACCAACAGATAAATATGTTAACGGGAAAGATGACACATAACAGCTCTGGATGTTTAAAATCAAAAGATGGTGACTTATTAATGGGACATAGTAATATAATTAACAGATGGACAGAGTATATAGGGGAATTGTATGATGATAATAGACCAGATGTAGAACTGCAGACCAACAATGATGGTCCACCAATAATGACTGCAGAAGTTGAGGATGCAATACATCATATGAAGAAAGGAAAAGCACCCGGGCCAGACAACATCTCACTGGAAGAAATCGAAGCACTGGGAGATTTTGGAATTGAAATAATAACTAAACTTTTAAATGATATCTATAAAAGTGGGTATATTCAAAATGACCTTTTAAAATCCATATTTATAGCTCTGCCAAAGAAACCAGGCACTTTAAAATGTGAAAACCATTGCACAATAAGTCTTATGTGTCACATGACTAAGATTTTAATGAGAATAATTATGAGAAGAATAAGAAACAAAATTAAACCAGAAATCAACAATGAACAATGGAAATTTTTAAAAGGAAAAACGGTCAAATCATTATTTGATTCGTTGCCGGCCCGGATTTGTTTTTAGTTGATTGACCATTTTTGACTGCTGAGCAGGGCTGCCAGTAATAATTGAACTTTGCATTATTATATAATTTCATTTCCACAAACTATTGAGTCTTTGGTAGCGTAGTTGTAAATATTCTGCCCATCATGCGAATGACCTACATTCGATTCCCCGCTGGGTAATATAAATTTTTTTGGCCTTTATCTGGGCGGTGGCACATTGTGTTGTGGTTTATGGCTAGGTTGCGATATCTACACCTTTTTTCGGTTTTGGGGTTTACAGCTAGCCTGCGTTAGCGGCGACGTGATGCTTAATGATCATGTCACGGGTAATCTTCGTTCGCCCTTGAGAGAGCTGTTGGAACGTTGTGTTGTGGTTTACAGCTAGGTTGCGATATCTTACCCAGACTCTTTAACCTTCGATAGTATAGTTGTAAGTATTCTACCCTTCACGTGGGTGACTGGTGTTAGATTCCCCGCTGGGTGATAATTGTTCTTTTTCCTTCAGAAGGGTGGTTGCCACATTGTATTGTGGTTTACAACTAGACTGCAATATCTGCGCCTTTCGTACAAAGACATCCGATTTAAGTTAAGTCCCATTTAGCCTCCCCATGACGCTTCTCGGTCAAAAACTCTTTGACGATGACAGAAACTGTTAACTAAGACAGCTTACAGTCTATTTTAGTTTGGGTGGACACGGATGCCAAGGTCAGTTAAAAATCGTCTCTTCGGAGAGGGAGAGATGACGGGTGCGGGCTATTTTTCACCGCTGTTAGTGAGTATAGTCTACTTTTTTAATGTGGGTTCCATCACTGGTTAGATGATGAAGTTTTTTTTTCTATGTCGGGGCAAAATTAAACAGTCTGTGGCGACAGCACGCGGCGCTAACTCCTCTGGCTACACCCACCTACACATACTGTAGTGACAGTTATTGTTGTTGTGATGGTGGTGGTGGTAGTAGTAGTAGCAGTAGTAATGGTACTGGATGGGTGATGTGGTAGCTGTTAAACTGGCCACATTTACTTCTCAGTACAAATTAAGGCTACCCATTTTAGTCTGGGTGGAGTATGCTACCCAATTTGGTTTATTTCGTCAGATGATGATGGACAGTGAGTATAGTCTACTTTTTTACTGTGGGTTCCATCACTGGTTAGATGATGAAGTTTTTTTTTCTATGTCAGGGCAAAATTAAACAGTTTGTGGCAACAGCACGCGGCGCTAACTCCTCTGGCTACACCGACCTACACATACTGTACTGACAGTTATTGTTGTTGTGATGATGGTGGTGGTAGTAGTAGCAGTAGTAATGGTACTGGATGGGTGATGTGGTAGCTGTTAAACTGGCCACATTTACTTCTCAGTACAAATTAAGGCTACCCATTTTAGTCTGGGTGGACACGGATGGCAAGCTCAATTTAGTTACAATATTTCGTCAGATGATGATTTTTCCATCCTTCGGAGAGGATATGATTGGGGGGGGGGGGGGGGAGAGAATGCCAGACACTGCTAACTGAGAGAGCTTGAAACATTATTTTAAAGTTCTCATTCCTTCACTATTTCTTTATTAATAATTTTGCCAGGGATGATTTTTGAATCCTTCAGAGAGGGAGATATGACTGGGTCAAAAGGGGGGGGGGGGGGGTGGGATATGACAGACGCTGTTAGCTGAGAGCTTTTTTCTTTCTTTTCCATTTCACCATTCTGTGCCACAGCAACGCGTGGCCGGGTGCAGCTGGTAAAGAATATGTATTAACAGCAAACAGCAGCTATAAGAATTAACAACTGTTTAGGTACATTTAGAGCATAAAGAGAGGCGTACGACAAGGATGTGTACTGTCACCTGAATTATTTTCACTATACAGTGCATATAAAATGAGATCTATAATTGATATGCCTATAATTGTGGTTGATGGGCACAATATAAACAATTTACGTTATGCTGATGACACAGTCTTGATAGCAACAAGTCAGAAAGAACTAGAGGAAATGATAAATATTGTGGTGGTAGAAAGTGGAAGAATGAGCCTCGGTTTGAATAATGGGAAGACAGATAATGGTGGTATCAAGGAAAAGAATTATTCCTAAATGTGCAATAAAAGTCAGTGGTGTTATTTTGGACAAGTACAGAAATTTTAAGTATCTGGGCACATGGATAACATCAGATGGAAGATGCATTACTGAGATAAGAAACAGAATAGGACAGGCAAAAACTGCATTTCATAAAATGAAGAACATCTTAAGCAATATATCTTTGTCATTGAGAGTTAGAAAAAGAATTCTTGCTTGCTACATACATCCAGTTTTAACATATGGCTGTGAGTCCTGGACAATCGGTAGGCAGGCCAAACAATTTCTTGAGGTCTCAGAGATGTAGTTTCACAGTAGAATGCCTAAAATACCTTGGACAGCCAAAAAGAGCAACCAGGAGGTCTTGAAAGAGGCGGGAGCCTGAAAACAACTTATTACAGACATCAGAAGTAGACAGTCATTATTTTTCAGCCATGTTATAAGAAGAGGGAAAATGGAACATGTTGTGACCACTGGAAAAATTTGTGGAAGGAGAGATAGAAGAAGACAACAAGAGAAGATTCTTGACAGTCTTGTTGCATGGCATGGAGGTGTGTCAGCACACGAACTGATACATGCTGTAGGAGATCGCAGATTGTGGCGAGGCATGGAGGTGTGTCAGCACACGAACTGATACATGCTGTAGGAGATCGCAGATTGTGGCGAGGCATAAAGGTGTGTCAGCACACGAACTGATACATGCTGTAGGAGATCGCAGATTGTGGAGAGGCATGGAGGTGTGTCAGCACACGAACTGATACATGCTGTAGGAGATAGCAGATTGTGGAGAGGCATGGAGGTGTGTCAGCACAGGAACTGATACATGCTGTAGGAGATCGCAGATTGTGGCGAGGCATGGAGGTGTGTCAGCACACAAACTGATACATGCTGTAGGAAATCACAGATTGTGGCGAGGCATGGAGGTGTGTCAGCACACGAACTGATACATGCTGTAGGAGATCACAGATTGTGGCGAGGCATGGAGGTGTGTCAGCACACGAACTGATACATGCTGTAGGGGATCACAGATTGTGGCGAGGCATGGAGGTGTGTCAGCACACGAACTGATACATGCTGTAGGAGATCGCAGATTGTGGAGAGGCATGATCACCCACTCCAGTCGACAAGGCACCTGATGATGATAATGATGTTGTGTGCTTTTTAACTGGTAACTTTAGAGTTGTTGATATGTGATATTCAACTGTCAACTTTAGAGTTGTTGATATGTGATATTCAACTGTCAACTTTAGAGTTGTTGATATGTGATATTCAACTGTCAACTTTAGAGTTGTTGATATGTGATATTCAACTGTCAACTTTAGAGTTGTTGATATGTGATATTCAACTGTCAACTTTAGAGTTGTTGATATGTGATATTTAACTGTCAACTTTAGAGTTGTTGATATGTGATATTCAACTGTCAACTTTAGAGTAGTTGATATGTGATATTCAACTGTCAACTTTAGAGTTGTTGATATGTGATATTCAACTGTTAACTTTAGAGTTGTTGATATGTGATATTTAACTGTCAACTTTAGAGTTGTTGATATGTGATATTCAACTGTCAACTTTAGAGTTGTTGATATGTGATATTCAACTGTCAACTTTAGAGTTGTTGATATGTGATATTCAACTGTCAACTTTAGAGTTGTTGATATGTGATATTCAACTGTCAACTTTAGAGTTGTTGATATGTGATATTCAACTGTTAACTTTAGAGTTGTTGATGTGTGTGTGTTGTCCATCAAAATGATGACTACTCTTTTTCATCAACTATGAGTACGAAGATGACTGATGAGGCCGATGCGGGCCCTGAAAAGTTCTTGGACAGTGAGGACAGGGATGAGCATTGTGCCAGGGAGGAGATCTCCTGCAGTTGCCTTTCTGTCCATCCTTTTCTTAATCAGTCTTGCTGTTTTGTTGCTTCACATGTAGCCGCGCCCTTGTGTAGAGTTGCACGACACGCATTTCGGTCTTGAGAGGCAGACTCCCAATTGGTGTCATTCATCCTAAATGCTTTGAGTGAAGACTTCAAGATGTCCTTAAAGCGTTTCTTTTGCCCACCTTGGGAACGTTTCCCATTTTGCAGCTCACCATAGAAGTTTTGTTTTTTTGGAGCCTGTGATCTGACATGTGTGCCACATGACAAGCCTAACGAATTGTTTGTTGATGTGTAATATTTAATTGTCAACTTCAGAGTTGTTGATGTTAAATATTTAACGGTCAACTTTAGAGTTGTGGATGTGTGATATTTAACTATTAGCTACTGTTTAACTATATTGCAGGTGTGTGCCCTGAAAGGGATTTCCAGTGTTCTGACTATACTTGTGTCAACAACTCACTTCGCTGCGATGGAAAAGTGGACTGTGTGGTCTCTGGAGGGGATGAAGATGGTTGTGGTGAGTGCTGGTTTTCATGATTATACTGTTAGTCATGATAATGTTGGTTCTCACCAGCATTGTTGGCTCTGTAGTCTTCTTGTTAATCAGAAGGGCATCTGTATACTGTCTTCTTGTTTGCTTAGAAGGGCATCTATATACTGTCTTCTTGTTAATCAGAAGGGCATCTATATACTGTCTTCTTGTGTCTTCTTGTTAATCAGAAGGGCATCTATATACTGTCTTCTTGTTAATCAGAAGGGCATCTATATACAGTCTTCTTGTTAATCAGAAAGGCATCTATATACTGTCTTCTTGTTTGCTTAGAAGGGCATCTATATACTGTCTTCTTGTTTGCTTAGAAGGGCATCTATATACTGTCTTCTTGTTTGCTTAGAAGGGCATCTGTATACAGTCTTCTTGTTAATCAGAAGGGCATCTGTATACAGTCTTCTTGTTTGCTTAGAAGGGCATCTGTATACTGTCTTCTTGTTGATCAGAAGGGCATCTATATACTGTCTTCTTGTTGATCAGAAGGGCATCTGTATACTGTCTTCTTGTTTGCTTAGAAGGGCATCTATATACTGTCTTCTTGTTTGCTTAGAAGGGCATCTGTATACTGTCTTCTTGTTTGCTTAGAAGGGCATCTGTATACTGTCTTCTTGTTGATCAGAAGGGCATCTATATACTGTCTTCTTGTTTGCTTAGAAGGGCATCTATATACTGTCTTCTTGTTAATCAGAAGGGCATCTATATACTGTCTTCTTGTTAATCAGAAGGGCATCTATATACTGTCTTCTTGTTAATCAGAAGGGCATCTGTATACAGTCTTCTTGTTTGCTCAGAAGGGCATCTATATACTGTCTTCTTGTTAATCAGAAGGGCATCTGTATACAGTCTTCTTGTTTGCTTAGAAGGGCATCTGTATACTGTCTTCATGTTGGCTCAAAAGGGCATATGTATACAGTCTTTTTATTTGCTTTGAAGGGCATCAGTATACAGTCTTCTTGTTTGCTTAGAAGGGCATCTGTATTCTGTCTTCTTATTTGCCTAGAAGGGAATCTGTATACTGACTTTTTGTTTGCTTAGAAGGGCATCTGTATACTGTCTTCTTGTTTGCTTAGAATGGCATCTGTATACTGTCTTCTTGTTTGCTTAGAATGGCATCTACATACAGTCTTCTTGTTTGATTAGAAGGGCATCTATATACAGGGTGTTCTTGTTTGATTAGAAGGGCATCTATATACAGGGTGTTCTTGTTTGATTAGAAGGGCATCTATATACAGGGTGTTCTTGTTTGATTAGAAGGGCATCTGTATACAGGGTGTTCTTGTTTGATCAGAAGGGCATCTGCATACTGTCTTCTTGTTTGCTTCAAAGGTCGTCTATATACAATCTTCTTGTTTGCTTAAAAAAGCATCTATATACAGACTTCTTGTTTGCTTGAAAGGGCATCTATATACAGACTTCTTGTTTGCTTAAAAAGGCATCTATATACAGACTTCTTGTTTGCTTGAAAGGGCATCTTATACAGACTTCTTGTTTGCTTAGAAGGGCATCTATCTATATACAGACTTCTTGTTTGCTTAGAAGGGCATCTATATACAGACTTCTTGTTTGCTTAGAAGGGCATCTATATAGACTTCTTGTTTGCTTAGAAGGGCATCTATATACAGACTTCTTGTTTGCTTAGAAGGGCATCTGTATACTGTCTTCTTGTTTGCTTAGAGGGGCATCTGTATACTGTCTTCTTGTTTGCTTAGAAGGGCATTTGTATACTGTCTTCTTGCTTGCTTAGAAAGGCAACTGTATACAGACTTCTTGTTTGCTTAGAAGGGCATGTGTATAGTCTTTTGTTTGCTTTGAAGGGCATCTGTATGCAGTCCTCATATTTCCACAAAATGTCTATGTGTGTGTGTGTGTAAGCACACAGTTGTGTGTATGTCTGTAGGTGCATGTGTGTGTGGGGCTGTATGTGCACATGTGTGTGCGTGGGTGTGTGTGTGTATGGGGGGAGGGAGGGTTCCTTTTGTTTTCACAGATTGCAACTCAACTCATTGTTTCAGAATTGTTAGTTTCACTCCTTCTGCCATTTAGTGTTGTTATGTGAACTATATTACCATCGTTACTGGATGCTTTTGATAAAAGGATTTTCAGTGATCACAGGCTGGTGCTAAAAGAGTTAATTTCTGGTTGTTGTTGTCTTGGACAGTGAAGCTGACATCAGATAACCAGCTGCAGGTCATGCTGGGAGGCCGTATGTATCCTGTGTGTTCAGATGATTGGACACATACACACAGCAAGTGGGCCTGCGATGCCCTGCACTCCAGGTCACCTTCTTGTGCTTGTTTGTCATTGTTGTTGTCTTTTTTCTTGCCAGCTTTTATTATTTATTTATAGTTTATCATTTTTCTGAGACTGTTTATCATTTCTGTCAGCATTTTGTCTTCATAATTTATCATTTCTGTCAGCATTTGTCTTCATAATTTATCATTTATGCCATCTTTTTATTCATTTATTATTCATAATTTATCATTTCTGTCAGCATTTTGTCTTTTTAATTGATAATTTCTGTTAGCATTTTGTCTTCATAATTTATCATTTATGCCATCTTTTGTCTTCATTATTTATCATTTATGCCATCTTTTGTCTTCATTATTTATTGTTTGTGTCATCTTTTGTCTTCATAATTTATCATTTCTGTCAACATTTTGTCTTTTTAATTGATAATTTCTGTCAGCATTTTGTCTTCATAATTTATCATTTATGCCATCTTTTGTCTTCATTATTTATAATTTATGCCATCTTTTGTCTTCATAATTTATCATTTCTGTCAGCATTTTGTCTTTTTAATGGATAATTTCTGTCAGCATTTTGTCTTTTTAATAGGTAATTTCTGTCAGCATTTTGTCTTCATAATTTATCATTTCTGTCAGCATTTTGTCTTTTTAATGGATAATTTCTGTCAGCTGTATGCAAGCTTGAGAACAAGCTGCACACATGTCATGTTTGTAATAGCACTCCAAAGCAAATTGACAAAGATTGGGACAGGTCCAACTAATGACTGCCTTGGGGCTCTTTTATCAAGGGTATGCTGGGAAATGAACAATCAGAGATACTAGCTAGTGGCAAGGTATGTGTAGCGAAGCATCTTTGAGTGCAGTAGAACAACGCAAAATGTTGAATGTGAAATTAGTAAACAATATCACCACACGCAGGACATTCCCAGAAGCGCTCCATCCCCCTCTTCAGTAGCAAGTGCAGAGTTCCATTTTCGATGGCACCAGCAAAATTCCTGTATATCTGCCTTGCCTTTGTCTTGAGTGTTAGACGTGAGCCAGATCCCCTGGACAGTCCTCGCAGAACCAGACCGTGATGATCTGTTTGGACCTGTGAACTGTTCACTTGCTACTAAAGGACGCTCGCAGCCTCTAGCTAGTCATGCAGCAGTTCACTACCAAGTGGTGCAGAACCAACCAGTCTGTCTGGCTGTTCATTTTCCAATACCAGCATATTCTAGAGAAAATATCTAAAGGACACTTACCACTCAGGACCTTTAAAGCAATGCTTGCCACTCTGCACGGAGCATACCGGTCTCCACCTTAGAATGACAACATGTATATACAGCTACTTCTCAAGCCAGTGAAAGGCTGCAGTAACTGCCTCCACCTCCATTCTCAAACTAAATGTGGCCTCATATGCCAGGCTTTGAAGCACTAAGCTACTTGCATTCCTTATTGCTAAGAACCCCCATGACCTTCATCTGCCCCTCAACACAGAGCCATCTGCATAGTAGATAATCACATCACATTGGTAGGAATTATAATGAATAATTTGTTGAACTTCAGATTCTGCAGTGCTCATTGTCCAGTCCCTGCTCTCATAGCCCAGTCTGATTAGAGTCTGATTCTTGCTGGGATACCTTGACCCACTCCTCTTCTCACACATTATCATCAAGCCTGCACACATGTATAATTGTGTTTTCAGTTTGCGCCATCAAAGATCTTCCCCTTATCAGTCTGTGCTCTACATTGAGCTTCATGTAGGAGGTGCTTCTTGTCTGCAGCTACTCTGAGATATGACTTTGCTTGCAGAACTTTGAGCCTATTTGAAAATAGTAGGCAGTGCAAGTATATATCACATACACACTACCACAGTATTTCATTTAGATCCCAGAACTACCCGCATGACTTCATTCTGTATACACTCACGTTTCATCAGCTAGCTCTTTGATATGGAAAGCATTCTAAGTCCATAATCTGTCACTGACGGGATCGAATGCTGGAACATTGTGAACAGCATTCTTTGTTCCATATCCATTGCTGCTATAATCTTGAGTGCTTTAGAACCTATTTTGCATTTCCCTGCAAGTGACTCCACATGTTCCCTAAAGGACAGGTTTCTGTAGAAAGGAATACATGGACATCTCAGTTTGCCTTTAGTTTTGATGTTTCAATCATTCATTGTGAGGCTCGGAAATCATCTGTTATAACTCTATTGTCCAGAGAGCACCATAGAACAGCTGCTTTTTCTAGGCTCGTGACAGTACCCATCTTTGCACAGCAGTCATTCACTTTGTGGATAGTTGCCTGTGACACTTGTAGCACTTTTCCTGTATGTTGCCTATCACTATATATCTTTGCTCTGGAACCTACTAGGGCCTAGGAATGAAAGAAGACCAAATAACACATGGAGAAGGCATCTAGAGAATGAAAGAAGACCAAATAACACATGGAGAAGGCATCTAGAGAATGAAAGAAGACCAAATAACACATGGAGAAGGCATCTAGAGAATGAATGACAAAGATGGGACACAGAGACTAGTGAAGCAGTGGAGTGGCCAGGGATCTGGCCAACAGTCAGAGAAAGGTCAAGATGACAATCAAATGCCAGTTGTACAATTAGTATTGGAACTCTGTGATGGCTTCTGAAGAGTGGAGGGAAAAAGGGGTGGTTGTGTGTGTGGGGGGGGGGGGGGGTGAAACATTGATGAAAATATCCTGAATCTTGATTTTCAGTTCCAGCCTAAATTGGCAACCAGGGTTTTAAAAAAAATAAATAAAAATGTGACTGAGAATAATTAATAAATGTGAACAGAGTAGAGAAGGAAATGGAATCTTTTCCCTTGTGCTTAAGCAAATAAAGATGGTGATTCATGTTTTGACCTGTTGCTATACGACTTGAGCTAAATTATGATGCCATAATGACTTTAAAAAAACGTTTTTCTTTTTCCTTTTCTCTGTGTGTGTAGTGCAAGCGCGCATGCGTGCGTGTGTGCATGCATGTGTGGGTGGGTGGGAGGGGTGGGGGGGGGAAGGGGAAGGTTGGTACATGCGTGTGTGTGAGTTCACATAGCCACCCCTCCCCCACCCCCTTTCTAGTTGCTATATTTGGTAAATAAAACACTGCAGACCTCCAAAACAAGACACAAGCAGCACAAACAGAACTGGTGATAACAACTTGGCTTCTCTGGGCTAGCTAATGACAGAGCCTATATATCAGTGTCACTGTAAGGGCACAGCCCATGGATCATCAACTAATTGGCCACTAGGAATCATGATGATTCACCTGTACAAATAGGCAACTAATGCCATATACCTAAAACAGCTTCAGGTTTTAACATTTATATACACTGCTTAAAACTGAGCTAAATCATGATGCCATAATGAGTGCTGATTGGTCCCACCTTTTCTCTGAGTGCTGATTGGCCACCAATGCGTGCGTGCTGATTGTGTGTGCAATGAGTGCTGGGTGGGTGGGAGGGGTGGGTGCTGATTGGGGGGAAAAGGTTGGTACATGAGTGTGTGTGAGTTCACATATGTGGCCCCATACATCTGAATGCATGATAAAGTATTCTTTACTTTTACTTACAAGACTTCTTTTTCTTTTTTTACCTGACAGATCAGTGTTATCAACATCAAGTGTCCACCAGGTGGCACAATTGTCACAGTTTGCTGTCCACTGAATCATGATGATTCACCTGTACAAATAGGCACTTTGTTGCCATAAACCTAAAACAGCTTCATTGTTTTAACATTTAGGTGTTGTTCTGACCACATCACCATTGATACTGATTGGAGGCCCAATGAGTGCTGATTGGCCCACCCAATTGATTGCTAATATGAGTGTGTTGTCCTTTCTTCCATTGATACTGATTGGGTCATATAGGTCTATACCTATGTGGCCAATACTTCTGAGGTGTTGTCCTTCTTTACTTTTACTAATATGAGGTGTTTTTCTTTTCTTCCACAGATCAGTGTTATCAACATCAAGTGTCCACCGGGTGGCACAATTGTCACAGATTGCTGTCCTGAAGAAGAGCCAGTCTGCAGTTTCAGTTAGACACTTTGTTTTGAGGTAAATCTCCTTCCATTGATACTAATATGAGGTGTTGTCCTTTCTTCCATTGATACTAATGTGAGGTGTTGTCCTTCCTTCCATTTATACTAATGCGAGATGATGTTTTCTTTTCTTCCATAAATACTAATGTGAGGTAGACATTTTTTTTTTTCATTAATACTAATGTGAGCTGAATTTTTTTTCTTTCCACCATTTATGTGAAACAATTTCCTTTCTTTCATTGACACCAATGCGAGATAGATGTTTTCTTTTCTTCCATAAATACTAATGTGAGGTAGGTGTTTTTTTTCATTGGTACTAATGTGAGCTGAATATTTTTTTACCCACCATTGATAATAAAAGCAACTTTGTCTTGAGGTAAACCTTATCTTTTCTTTCTCACCATCTATACTAATGGCAACCTGAACTTAAGGTAAACCTATTCTTTTCTCTCTCACTATCTATACTAATGGCAACCTGAACTTGAGGTAAACCTATTCTTTTCTCTCTCACCATCTATACTAATGGCAACCTGAACTTGAGGTAAACCTATTCTTTTTCTCTCCCACCATCTACACCAATGGCAACCTGAACTTGAGGTAAACCTGTTCTTTTCTCTCTCACCATCTATACTAATGGCAACCTGAACCTGAGGTAAACCTATTCTTTTCTCTCTCACCATCTATACTAATGGCAACCTGAACTTGAGGTAAACCTTATCTTTTCTCTCTCACCATCTATACTAATGGCAACCTGAACTTGAGGTAAACCTTATCTTTTCTCTCTCACCATCTATACTAATGGCAACCTGAACTTGAGGTAAACCTATTCTTTTCTCTCCCACCATCTATACTAATGGCAACCTGAACTTGAGGTAAACCTATTCTTTTCTCTCCCACCATCGATACTAATGGCAGTTTTGACTTAAGGTAAACCTATTCTTTTCTCTCCCACCATCAGTCCTAAAGAAAACTAACTTTTTGGATATGTG